GATTTACAGTAGAAGGGGTAGAGAGAGAAAAGGGGAGGGGAGGGGAGGGGAGGGGGGATAGTGGAGAATAGGACAGACAGCAGAATACATCAGACACTAGAAAGGCAATAGGTCAATCAATGGAGGGGTAACTGATGTGATTCAGCAATCTGTATACGGGGTAAAAGTGGGAGTTCATAACCCACTTGAATCAAACCGTGTAATATGATGTATTAAGAACTATGTAATATTTTGAAAGACCAATAATAATTAAAAAAAATAAAGAAAAAAAAGTTTATTTTCTAAGTCATGTTCTTTAAGTTTAGACCTATTTTAAGTATAAAAACAGGGCGAAGGATTCACATATACTTCATTTTGTAARTTTTGTATATTTTATAAATTCCTGTAATCTATAATTTTTTCAAAATAAAAAGAAATAACTCAAATGATCAATTAGGGGCCTTATTTGGCAGTCCCTGTAGAATTTAATGGTAAAATTGTTTATATTTATCATTATATTAATAATAATTATTAAATAATACATAATTATTCAATAAATATTCTATGTAATATCATATATCGTAAAAATTTCTGCATGTGTTTTCTTACATATCATCCCAATTAGCACAGTATATTATTATGTGATGACTTTCTAATATTCTAGTGCAGTCTTTTTTTCTTTAACTTTAAATTTCATATGTAGCTGGTGCTTGATTTTGATGTCCTGCATCCAGTAATTTCTTTTTTGTTTGTTTTAATTACTTTACAAATGTCATATAGTTCAATCTTTCATTCAGCAGTTAAACAATACATTTAATTTGCCAGACACTTGGTAATATTTTTGTTATGTTGGATTTTTGCTCAGTCACCTATACTCCTTCTGCTTAGCCTGCAACCCTTGCTCAAGCAAGCTCTTTTGTTTGTTCTGCTGCCTGTGCATGGTCTTAGAGTGTGCAAGTTGCTCTTTACCCCTGCACAATGATATGCCTGATGAGTGGAATTGAAGGTTGGTAGATTGTGCCATCACCATACAGGTTTCTGTGACCCAAGTGTTTCTAAAATACAATTCATAGAATTCTTTCAGCATGAACAGCTTCCAGTTTTCAAATTTTATTCCATAAATGAAACTTTAAGGAATTTCTCTAACCTTTTCCTTTAAAGTATCAGATAGTATCTAATAGAATTTCTTGAAAACTTTCTTTTAAATTAATTTGACATGCTTACCTAGTCAAAATAAATAAGAATAGAATGTGGATGATTACATTTCCCATAAAATTAGTGCTTGCACTTCATGTAAAATTAGTACACTGTATATTGTAAATGTTAGCTTCCTCTTTATCTTTTGAGGATGTATATAATTTATTATTAACTTAACCCATTATAGAAAAGGAATGGAACACAAATCAAGGAAATGTCATAAATCCAAGAATCTGCTATCGTACTGTCCTGTCGAACTGCCACCACACAGGACCCAGCACTGTGGGCTTCTCCAAGGCATTGCTGCCCTATAGATTTCCAGTTTGTTATTCCTTTCAGAATGTTGATATTGTGAAAAACCATATTGTCCTCTTGTAGAGTGTTGTCTTCTTTCTTCTTTTTGTATTAATTTTTATTGAATCTTTTTAATTACCTAAAACATTAGGATACAKTTTGATATAATCACACAACTATGGAATATAATTTGCTCTAATTCAGTCCCTAGCACTTCCCCACCTGCCTCCCTTCTCCTGCTCCAGTCTTACTACTCTACTGATATTTCACTGTACTGGTAGTTTTTTTCTTTTCTTTTTTTTTTTTTTTAAATTAGTGTCTTGTGGATATACTTGATGTTAGGATTCACTGTGCTATATTCATGTATGCACATGTGAAATGGAGTCAGTTTCATTCCATGGTTCTTCCCTTTACCCCTCTCTACTTCCTCCCCCTCTATCCCCTTTGTTTATTCTACTGATCTTTCCTCTGTTTTGATGAAATTCCCACTCTTTTTTTTCTCTCTTTCTTTACATCTTCCTCACCCTTTTGGATTTATTTCTGCATATTAGAGAGAACATTTGACCTTTGACTTTTGGGGACTGGCTTATTTCACTTAGTATGATAGTCTCCAGTTCCATTCATTTACCCACACATGCCATAATTTCAGTTTTCTTTATGGCTGAGTAATACTCCATTGTGTAGTTGGACAACATTTTCTTTATTCATTCATCTGTTGAAGAGCATGAAGTTTGTTTTGATTGGCTATTGTGAATTGTGCTGCTATAAATATTGATGAGCCTGCATCAATATTAGATGCTGGTTTTAAATTTTTTGGTTATATACTGAGGAGTGGGATAGCTACGTTATTGCTAGTTTTTTGAGCAATCTTCACACTGCTTTTCAGAGTGTCACATTACTCTGCAGTCCCACTATCAACAGCTGAGTGTAATTTTTTCCCCACATTCTCACCAGCATTTATGATTATTTATATTCTTGATAGTTGCCATTCTGACTGGAGTGAGATAAAATCTCAGTGTAGTTTTGATTTGTGTAGCCCTATTTTCTAGAGATATTGAACTTTAAAAATAAATATTTGTTGAGCATTTGTATTTCATTATTTGAGAAATGTCTGTTCAGTTCCTTTGTCCACATTGTTTAGGTTATTTGTTTGTGTGGTTTTGGTGTTAAGTTTTTTGAGTTTTTTGTATGTTCTGGATATTAATGTCCTACTTAAGGAGCAGGTGGCAAAGATCTTCTTCCATTCTGTTGGCTTTCTCTTTATGCTCTTAATGCCTCTTGAGTCTAGAATAATGCTTGTGTCAAACAATATTGACTAAAGAAGGTTCTTAAAAATAAATGTTAGCTGAGAACTCTATAAGGAGCATTTGTATTTCTCCCTCAAACCAGGCAAGTATGTTTTGCTTTCTCCTTTGCTTCTTAGCTTATTTTAGTGTCTTAAATATATCCCAAGAGAATATTTTTCTTAGCTAAATTAATATCTCTTCAATATAAGAATATATTTAGGGAAGAGTAAATATGAAATCTGTCCATCTTCATTTTTTTCTGAGAATTATTTTTAAACAGCCATAATAGCTATCTTTTGAGCTTACTTTTCATTCCAGATTTATTTCATGTAGATCTAAAATGATAATAAATTTATTTTTCTCCATTTTTATAGATTTTTTATGTTTCTGGTTTATTATTTATGTAAAGTTAGAATTCCTGTAAATATCAAGAATATTTTGATGCTACTCTTTGAGGGAACTCCCAAGAGAAATTACACTCTCTTCAAGGTATTTATTAGTTACTGCAATCCAGCATCAGCATGTGTGTTTGCTTATGTTAAAACAATTAACATGTGATTCACAGAATTGTAATAATTGTAATCATAATTGTACTACTACTAATAATAATTGTATTAATAATAAATTGTAATAATAATGACCATGATAATAACAATAATAAAATATGTTTCAGAACAGGAAAAGAAAGAAAAACATGCAGAACCAGGTAATTTCTTTAAAGTATTCTATTTTAAAAAATTTTATGATATTATTTAATTTGCAACTTTATGATAAATTATAAATGAATGGCATAAAATATTGATTTTTTTTTCTTTTCTTGCTTGATATAGCAAAGTCACCAAAGAAGGAACCTTCAGGTGAGTTACTCTGGTGAAGTGGACTCTCTCTACCAACAGGTAGCCTCAGACTATGTGTAAAGGTTGGTCTGAGGCAGTAGAGGTCAGGAAATCTCAGCCTTTCTTTCAAGCTCTTGACACAAACATAACATCAAGCCAGTTTTACAAAGTAAAAGCCTGATAACACGCTGCACCCTTGCTACTCAGTGTGAGGCCTGTGAGCCAGCAGCATCTGATGCTGAGGTAGGAATGTAGACTCATTAAGAAAATGAATGCCCCACCTAGTCCTACTGAATAAGAAACTGCAACTTCATAATATCCCTAGTGGACTCCTGTGTGCAATCTTTGAGAAGCAGAATTTTTTTGTTTGGTGTAAAAAAAATACAAAGAACAAAATAAAACATGAGCAAAACACTTCCTGTGAATGCATCTAATATCGCTTTGCTTTTCAAATGTGAAATATTCACTTCCAGGAAATATTCTTCCCTCATGCATAATGTTACTTAGTAGCATTTCTTGAGCACTTGGGGATTTGTCTTAAAAAGAAAGATGGATTTACTCTCAATATATTTGTAATCTAATAGGAAAAAATTGAACTGAGAATCAAACAATGAGACAAACCAACCAATCAACAAATACTGAAAGTGCAGTTACTATAGACACCAAATCATTTTCTTATTTTACCTGCTCAGTAAGTCATTTGAATGAAAATTTTTGATGTTTTCTAGTGACCTCTATTTCTTTCTTTTTTATTTATTTCTGTTTTTTTTTCCTTTTTTTCTTTCTTTCCTTCTTCTTTTTTTTTTTTTTCATGTTGAGTTTGCATGAAGAAATGTCACCCAAAGAACCAGGAGGTTTTTTTGTTAGGGGAGGGTATTTGGGCTGGTGTGTGCTTGTGTTTGTATGCACATGTTGCAGGTAGTCAGCTTCATATAATGTCCTGTAGTAATTCCTTCCGTTTCATTGTATTTAAGTGGAAATAATATTTGCCACTTGTACATAACAATGCAAATAGAGCTGCTACACCATAGGACTGTCCTAGCCACAACCATAGCAAATCACAAGTTTAAAGCCACATGTTTTCTTCTTCCCAGTTTGTTAAAACTACTGCAATAACCCCAATCTGCTTAGGTATCTCTCCAACCAATTCTATAGCATCATTTCCTTACCTTTACAATAGCATTTAATATACTGTTAAAATTATACTCTCTTCTTTTTTACACTTTTAACAGTTCTTAATTAGAGGATAGAGCCTATTTTTATCTCTTTATTTTCAGAATGCCTATTGTGATTCCAAACACACAGAGGGCACTTGATAACAATGTATGAAGTGAAAGAAGGACATTAAGTAGAATAATCCCAGTTTTTAAAATTTAAAAATTGAATGACTTCCAAATACATAATTTACAAGATGAAGTAATGGCACATTTCACCATCTCACATTAACAGCCCTACCATTTAACCTTTGGTAAAGAATGGTTTATCTATTTATAGAGAACAGCCTATTTGTTCAAGAATGCATTCCCATTAGTGCTCTGTAACACACATTTATACTTATGTACATATGCAAAAAGCTCAAATAGAGACACATTTTAAAATATGGAGGGGCATATCAAATGACTTTTGGTATAACTAATTTTAAGGATCTTCATAGCTAAATACCAGGTCTCATATTGAACATGACACAATACCATAACTTAAAATTGCTTCAAATCATCTGTTCATTTCAGGGTGTGATTACAGTGTAGCCACTTAGCAGTAATTAGTTGTATTTTTAAAATTTAAACCATTGGATAATCTKCCATATTATGCAGTAATTAGTTGTATTTTTAAAATTTAARCCATTGGATAATCTGCCATATTATTTCTTTATTTATTCTCATTTTGTTTTATAGAATTTGAGAAAAATGTATTTTCCTGAATATAAGAGCAATCAGATTCTTTGCAAACTTAAAATGGAAAACTAATAAATGAGTCACGAATGATCCTTCTATGTTGGAAGATGTATAAATAGCAGTCCCCCAGAAAACAAAAACAAAAATCTGTGGTTAATGAGTATTTTTAGAGTATGTCAAAGACATTGTAGTGCTATGTATTCTCTTACTAAGATTTGCTTTTTTGTTGTTTTGTTGTTATTGTTGTTGTTTTTGTTTTTTCCTTTTGGTCCTTAAGATTATACACACAGTCTTATAAGCAACTAAAATAACCTTAAAGTTATTTTATAAAAACACAAGTATGTTTAACATAGATCTTCTTTCTTATCATTAACAGCTGCAAGTGAAAAACAAGTGAAAGCAAGTATGTTGAATAAAACTTTTAAGTGGAGCATATTTTAGCAGCTTATTCTCTTGACTCTTCTGCTGTAGACATTGCTAATGCTAATTTTTGAGCTGGATTGCCAATTTTTTGTGTGTTGGAATAATATGTCAAATTATTCATTTCTGTCTTTTCTGTGAATTCATGCTTCTGACACTTTATCTATAGAGCTTTACTTTGTAAATTTTAATTTGTCCAGATAACCTCTCTTCAAATTGTGACTTGTTTTATACTTTGAAGAATATGTGATCTCTTCAGTTTCTTAATTAAATAATTCTTTAATTATTCTAATGATTAATTGTTTGAACAAATAGGCAACATAATTTGTCTACTATAAATGTTGTGTCTTTAATAAAATGTACCCCCAAACCCCAGTTTTTTAACTGTTCTTTGCTATCATATTCTTTTTTTAACCCATGTAACTTCAGATTATGAAATATTGACTGGCAACTATAACATATTATGGCATTTGTATCAGTGGCAGCCTTGACAATATGCTCAAGGGAAAAAGCTGATTTCTTTTGTTGTTTGTAAATCTTAATTTGGTAAAATACCTAGCAGGTTGCCATTAATGGAAATTATTTTAAGCATAAGGGCTTGCATTTTATTTTTGGAAAAAAGAAACATGGTTAGCTTCTTTAAGTTTTGGATATATAACCCATGGTCAGTTGTGTGCATGATGAAATATATATTTCTCTTTGGGTTAGAGTTATATAAGTACTTATGATGATACTAATACATAATACTTTCAGACCTAGTATATCACTGGTAAACATATCAGTGAATAATTGGAATATATGTTAATTAGATAGGTGAGAATGTCTTTCTTTTTCTCTTTTTAAAAAAGAACATTGCTTTTGGAATTTTTCCCTTAGACACTGAGGACTTTAAAAGTGAAGTTTAACATGAATCTAAAATTTCATTTATATTTCAATGAAAAATTGTGAGTTTAATGTTGAATGCAAAGCTAATTGGAACTCTATATTATGAATTGTTTAGTATGCTAGAACTTAGTCTTTAGAAATGCATAATCAAGAAAATGTATAAAACAAACTGATAATTTCACAGCTCTGGTAAAGAACTTTAGATTAAAGATTACTCTAAAAATTAACATTTTCTTAGTAGGAAAATGTGACATAGATAAAAATATTCATCTGAAATTTTTAAAAAATCTGTATGATCTGCCAACTACGAAACACACTATCCAATCAAGTTTTTAAAAGATCAGCATGTTTTTCAGGAGATTAACATATTGGGTTACCAAATCATTAAAATCCAACATAAAAATTTCAAGAGTTAATATTCTACTCCTTATGTGGTTGAGACATATGAAATTTACATGGACATTTTCTGTCAATATAAAAATTAATGAGAGATAACTCATAAGCTGTTCAGATTTTCTAATAACGGTCACTTCTCCAATTAAGAATTGGTTTCTTGTTTGTTGTTTGGAAATTATAGCCGTACAACATAAGAAGTGTTGCACATTTCCTATATATAGTGGGCTGTTTGTAAATTCAATGCCTAAAATGAAAATTATATATCATTACAAATACTCTGGAAAAGTCTTTAAATCTTCCATATAGTATGGTGTAAATAGTTTTGTGTATGTAGCCTGCACATCCGGGATACAAATTTACATTATCTTAAATTATGAGAGCAAGTGTGAAAGTGAAATATGTAGCTGAATTAACATAAAGCAAACATTTTATGTAATGAAATTCCATGGTATTGAATTTCATAGGACAGGTGATATTGACAGAGCAAGTCCATGGTAAATGTAAAGGGACATTTGCCATTAACACTGGATTAGAGAAAAAAAAATAGAGAGAAGATTAATTTAGTGGATTGAAACTGTTCCCTCAGGTACTGATGAATAATTGAAGTCAAACTAGGAAAAACACTGGAAGACTTGATTGAACTATGGGCTGTATCATTTCAGGGTAGAGCTTCTAATAGATTTTAAGAACTCGAAGAAGAGAGAAACCGTCCCAGGTTCAATGACACAATGCTGGGGAAGGTCACATATAGAGTTATGGACCACAGAATGGTGTTGATGGAAGAAGAATGCCTTGGACCAGGCAGGGATGTCAAATCTAGATTTTACAATTTCTGCAGGACAACACAGATAACTCTCTTTCTCAGGGAACAAGCAAAAAATGCCTCAGTGCAACAAAGTCCCATCACTATAGTTCCCTGAGCATGTCCCGCCATACATCATATAGCCACATATAGTTTGGCAATACAATTAGGATCAAACAAGTAGGCCATTGGAGTAGAATAGTTCAGATGTTTAATACTAATTATGGTGAATCTTCAATAAAGTCTACAGCAGTTGTTGTATATTCAATCGGTTGACCACATCCCCCCAACTTTATTTATTTTGGTCAAGGATCAGTATTTTCTAGTCCTTGGGAGGCACTGCAATAGTTCACTCCCTCCGTGTTGAGGACTTTGAGGTTTATATCACATATCCCATATGTGTGTGTTCAACCAGCCTGAGGTCAATTTGAATTTAAGAAAAATTTTTCATCAAATACCAGGTCAGGGCCAAAGTCTAGTCATTTTTAAACTGTAGATCTAAATTTTACAAAAATACCACAAACCGACATTTTTCATCCTCTGTTTTAAGTATTCCGCAGATTTTTGAGAATGCTCAGCCACCAAGCCTATGTTCATTACTCTAACCACACTTCAGTGTCTAAACGTGTAGGTCAGACTTCTGTGACCTGTTCTTCCAATGCATGTCAGGATCATTCAGGAGAAGCCAGTATGCAGAATTGAACAGTTAAGTCCTTTTGAATTTAATTAGTTATTTAACATTAAAGTAATACTTGGAGACAATTTGTATTAGCAAAATGATACATTTTTGGACTCAGTAGTACATTTTCTGGCATAGGAATTCTTGAGGAAAGGGAATATGGATCTGAACTAGCACATCTGATATCAAATAGAATGTGTGCATACCAAACATTATCATGAATGTCAGCAATAGTCATGTTTGACTATACTATCCCAGGATACTTATTACTAGACCATCTCCTTACTTGCTTAGTCTGTATAATAATTTACATGATGGGCTCCTCACATCTCAGTCGCTGTTTTCCGAATACACTCAACACAGTATTGATGTAGCACTAGAGTAATGTACCAGGAAAAATAGGTTGTGAGGGATTGACTGAGGAAGTAGGGCAATACATGCTTGTTATTAAGATTATGTGTAAAGCTAAGATTGGTGTACTGAGTGATAGCTTTAATTTGGAAAATTTCATGGTACAGAATCCAAGAATGTCCACCAAGATTGGCAAAGAAAAGAAAAGACAGAGAGAGGAAAAAAAAAAAAAAAGAACTAGCAGAAGCAGAATCTAAGGCTGATTTAGACACAAGGAAGTAGGAAGGAGGCGGTGAGGATTTTAAGTAAGAAACTAGGAATAAATTTCAGTACCAGAAAATAAAATGATGGCCACAGAAAAATACCAGTATAAATGATAACAACTGAGAGACCACTGTTGGGTTTGAGTCTTAACTGTGTAAATACACAGATATTCTGATACTGTTGTTCAAATACATCTCCTGATATTATTATTTCAAAGGGTAGCATGGTATTGGTGTAGATGCATACAAATTCTCTAACAAGACTGAGAAAAAAAAAAGACCTAAATTAAATCCCATGTGAGCAAAAATCTGACATAAGAAAGAACAGCCATTTCAGATAGAGAATGGGTAGATTATTTTAAAATGTTGCTGATGTAGTTAGAATTCATTACAAAAATGTAATTTATCCCTACTTCATACAATTCTAAAATATCAATCCCAGATGGTTCAGGGACTAAAATAGTAAAGGCAAAACATCATGTTATTTTTTTAAAAAGCCTAGAAAAACATATTTATAATTTTTTGAAGYATGAGAAAATTGGGAAAACTAGATATGAAAAATTCAAACCATGAATTTAAAAGTTGATTTATTGCATTGACTGAAGTATTATTAGACCTCCTAAAGAGATATAAAAAAGAAGCCACAAACTTGTAAACGCTGTTTATAACACAGATAAGTAACAAGAGACTAGCTGTAAAAAAAAAAAAATGGAAAACAAGAGGAAGCATTTGACCATTTGGCAGAAGAATGGGCCGAAAAACAGAAGCTAGAAGCAAGCTTAAAAAAAGAAAAGTGCAAATGRCCTGCAAACATTTCCAAATGTTGAACTTCCAAACAATAATGGAATTTTACATAAACTCAGAAAAGGATGCTATATATTCATACCAGATTGGTATAAAGTGGGAGATATGATCATATGATGATGATGAATGGAGCAATAAAAACTTGYATACACTAGTGATGTGAATGTAAAATTTTGGAGAAAAATATAGCATTTATATACTGAACTCAATCATGGACACATGACATGGCCCAGCGAGTTCACCTTCTAAGAACACTTTTGCACATGTTTGTAGTCAAATTATTTATACTAGCACAAAATTAGACATGACCTAGATTCCATCAACAGTAGAACAGATAATATATAGAATTTTTACACAATGGAATCTTATATAGCAGTTCAAAGTGATCAATGACAGCTACTCATATCAACAAGTCTACCTCTCTCTCTCTCTCTCTCTCTCTCTCTCTCTCTCTCTCTCTTCTCAGCCTTCTGTGTAGTTGGAATTATATTTGTACACTACCATGCCTGGCCATTTCAATGTTTTGAAAAAAGCAAATGAGAAAAATTAAGCCATATAATCCAATTTATACAAATTTGTTCACTAATCAATATAATTTAATTCATATAAAATTATCTTACCTCTATTTAGAGACAAATACATGTAATACAAAATTGTATAAAGAAATATTTTTGTGAAATTAATGTCAAGAGTAACTCCAGGATGAAAAGAGTTATTATGTACAACAATGGTGGGGTAAGTCAGAAGTTTCCCAAGGTCTTGATAGCATTCTATTTCTTAAGCTTGTAGGGGATACACACATGTTAGCATTCATTATCACCATTCACTAAGATACGCACAAATGTCATGTGCCTTTAATTTATATCATATTTTTTCACAATGAAACAAGTTTAAAAATAGAGAGTGAGAAGACAGAGTGCTGGGGTGGAGTGGAGAAGCTCTCTAGAGGATGCATGGAACAGGGAGGGAGCAGGGAGTTGAAAGATGTGGTGGTTTGTGGATACAGAGTATTCATGCTTTTGAGATGATGTGAACACATCAGGGAAGGTGAGGACTGATGAGGTAGCAAATAGGAGCAACCTTGCAAGAACAATGACCTTGAGTAGATACAAGGAGGTGGGACCCAGGATGCAGATGGAAGGATACATACTAAATAGCTGCAGGGACTGATTATCCTTTAAAACTAGAAAGAGGATGGGTATATGCTAGTGAGGTGGTAGAAAATCGAGGTAGCCTGTACTTATTTTCTCTATGAATTTCTCAAAGGCAGCTTCCCTTTATGTTGCTGGATTTGGACAGTTTGAGGAAAGAGTTGAATCTGTGAGCATGTTGTCAAGGGGAAGGGGAAAACAACTTCACTAGGTCTGGAAGAATATTGTTGGCCAGTGCTGAACATTCCCATGAGTGTTGTGATTGACATTTGAAGCAAGGTTGGCAACGCGGTTAGGGTCTTTCTCCAGGTCGGATGGCTGCTTAGGCAACTAGCAAAAAATATATTGGGTATTTTGCCAGATAACTTCAGTCCCCACAAAGTTATGTTGAAGTTCTAACTCTGTACCTGCAGTCATAACTTTATGTTAAAATAGGGTCTTTACAAAGTTAAGCTGTGGTCATATTAAATTGGAATGGGCCTTAAATCTGATGACTGGTGTCTTTATAAGAAGAGGAAAATTTTGAAACATATACACATGTAGAGAACAGCTGTGTCAACAAAAGAAAGAAATCAGAGCCATGGCAGACAGAGAAATGCCAAGGATTGCTGGCAATCACCAGAAGCTTGCGAGGCACAAAGAGAATCCACCCTACTGCCTTCAGAGGGAGCTTCAGAGGACCATGCCAAGGTCTTGATTTTGTACTTCTACCCTGCAGAGCCTCAAAAAAAAAAAATCCACCCAGCATCTTAAAGGCAGCCCCAGAAATGAATGCAGAAGATGACTATGAATACCAAACAGAAGTGAATGATCTAACCACAGGTCATTTAATCAAGCTTGGTTAGAAGTAAAGACAGAACATGAGGAAGGTCTTGAGTGGTAGGAAAGTGGTAAGATTGAAGGAATCACAGTATTGATGGGATCAGATACTATTTAGAGGGAGTTCTTTAGTAAGTGAAATGTGAAGACAAGCAACAGTACCAGGGAACAGGATTTTTGAAATCAAGTTTTGACCATAATGGAAAAGTCCAAGTGTATATTTGTGGTAGTCATCAGAGAAGTGGAGTTTCTGGTTTTCTCAAGTGAGGAGCTCAAGGAAGTGAGAGCTCATGTGGTTGCATGCATCATGTATAACAGTGACTCCTAATTCTGTTAAATATTAGAAGTGTTTGAAAGTCATGTAAGTATACCAATACCCAGGACTCACCCCAGGCTCATTAATTCAGGCTCTGCATCTCACCTCAGACCTCTGAATAGAATAGACTTCTCAAAATTCTCTAGCACATTCTAATATACATTTAGCTTTGAGAATGATTCTTAATTAAATCTCACAATAGCAGTCGTGTAGAGAAGGGTAGTGATGTGCAAAATTATTCAATGAATGAAAGGATATGCAGCTAGGTTGGTTGACAACAACAATAAAGAGGTTTAGAGCCTGCTATGATTTGATAGCTTGTACTTTAGAAGAACTGGGATCTGGAGGAAACAAGGAGATGACAATCTATGGAAAGTACTGAGAAGCCAAGAGGGTTAAGTGTATACCCCTTCCAGATGCCTTAATATGTGGAGCATAGAAAAAATAAATGTTCTTTATTTTAAAAGATTGTAGGGACACAACATCTTTGGAGAGATAGGGCTTGATTTATAGATAGAATATAGGGAGCATATTAAGAAGATGAAAATATAGGGACAAGTACTGCTAATGGACAAAGGGGACAGTGGAAGGGCTTTGGAAAGAGGTAAAGTTTTGGAGAGAAATACAGAGCCATAAATTCTCTTTTCTGCTGGAGAGCTCATGGTAGACCTGAGGCAAACAGGAGTAAAGATCACTGTAGGATTGACCTGAGCAGATTCTTAGAGGAAGTTTGGTAATCAGCTTCCAAAATATGGTCCAGTTCAGCAGCAAAACCATCACCTGGGAACTAGTTAGAAAGGCGAATTCTTAGAACATGCCCAGAGTTACCATCTCAATTTCCTGGACCTGCCCCTGTATTTTAAAAGCCCTCCATGATGATTCTGATGCATGCTGAAGCAAAGAACGACTGTCAAAGTCGCCTGGAAGATATAAAATACTAAGAGGTCTGCTGGGTCCTGGAGCTCACAGTCTTGAGGCAGCATGAAGAAGAGGATATTTATGTGACTTCTTTTGTAGGCTTAATTTATTCTCTTGTGGGATCTGATACTGTGGTATTAAAAGCTGAAGTTATTGAATGCCTCTTTTCAATCTCTGATCTCTCTCATAGCCCAAGGCATTGTGGTATAGCAAAGAAAAGGGTGTGATGGTGCCCACTGGTTGTTTTTTCCATAGCCTCAGCTATGGTGATATGGGTGACAGGGGACAAATACAAATGCCAACAAAAATAAAAATAAAACATATGATTGAGGGAACAACTTCACATAATAAAAATGTTTGTAAAATGAGTAAAGAAAGCTTTGTAAAAATTCACTACCTCATCATTATTTTTCTGTTTTTCACGTGAACTATAGAAAATGCCACCTTTTCAATTAGTTTACCTAAATTTGTGATTATATAGAATTTTTTAAGAGAACATTCTTTTGTATGTACTCAAAGATTAACTAGAATCCAGGTTTCAGTTTCTTAAATGAAATCAACTGTTCCTTTAGTATAGGTAACTTCTTGTCTTTATTTTATACCACAACTCGTTTTACTATTGATAGTTGACCTGAATAATCAGTCATGGCAACAACAGGATTCCTTAGGAATCGAAAATTTCCTTACCATTGAAACTGTATTATTGTTCTACTGTAAGGACTTGTGTTTTATGATATGATAAAGTAAATGATCATTTTGATCACATTTCTATGCTATAAAATGTCTTATTAGCAATAAAGATTAAATTATACATTGCACTATTTAGTCAGGAAATGATCATTTATGTCCTTCTTATTAATATTAAAACATGGAATGCTGTAACAATTAAGTGACCCAAACAATGTTGTGTTTGTATCTGGCATTGATTCACAGTAGAATAAAATTATACTTAAGTACTTTCAAAAAAAAAAAAAGAAAAAAAAAGAAATGCCTCCTTTAATTAACTTTGATATTAATTCCAATATTTTGTAGTATAATCAACATTTCAGATTATATCTTCAGGGAAGCTCTTATCTTCCCTGCAAGATATTCTGAAAAATCCTTAAAAAATGGCCTTTTAAATTATCTTTCTCTTTCTTTTTGAAAGCAACATTCAAATGAAATTTTCTRTAATATTATGGTTCATAATTTAGAATGTAAAGTTAACTGATAGAGGTCATATCATGTTGACTATTTCCATAATTAAACAAGCAAGGAAGACTTTCCAAGTTCTCATCCCTAAAAAATCCATATACCACCTACATTTAGCTGTAAACTAATTCTTTAGTATTCCATTGTATTTTGGGTAACAAGCCACCTTGTTTTTAATGATCACTATTATATAAGAAAATTACTTAATATCACAGAGCTGTACCTTGAAAGGAAATTTCTGTAGTAATCTTCAAGAATGTCAATATGTTAAAAATCAAAGCCTACAAGCTCTTGGGAGTTAGCCTTTCTTTGCAGCTTGCTTTGCTCTTGGGTGCCATATATTTGGATTGTTGTCTTCTTGTCTGACTTACAATACTATGTCATGTTGATCTGTATCTCCAATATCCATTTCTCTCACTCCTTTAATATCTGAATTTGCAGAAATTGAACGAGGCAAAGAAGAGGTTGGTGCTGCTTCAACTAAGAAAGGTAAATGCAGCTAAACAAACAGATGTCATGACTGTAACTTATTTATGCTACATTTTCTATGTATATGGCATAGTGCTTAATGAAGAATTTTATTGATTTTACCATTTTATTGATACAGAAACTCATTTTGCACAAGATTTGTAGCATCTATGTTATCAAGGCTTTGTTTTTAGTTGTTCTAATGCTAGTCCTTTTTTTCCTCAAAGTCATAAATTAATGCTACCCTAATTATAGTCAAATTGCAAGTTATCTTTTGGAAACTTGTGGAAATGAAACTACATAAAATCAGTAGGATTCCATTCATCTCCATGGATCATTCAAATTCAATATACTGCCTTAGGAGGTTAGGGCCTTAACAAATGAAATTTTGGCTAACAAACTCACATGAAAAATATTCACTTTGTACAAGAATGATATGACATTAGGAAATGTAGTCCATGAGATGCTGACTTGGAGCTATTTTGCTTTAAGAAATACATTGGGACATTTGGAGTGAAATCAATAATGTATACAATGTCTTTAAACTTATCTCAAGAGAAAAATTAATAGACTATCCTTAATATATATTCTCTCTCTCTCTCTCTCTCTCTCTCTCTCTCTCTCTCTGTCTCCCCAACCCACACAAACTTATACACATATTTCACCAAAATGACATAATATTTCTAAAAATCTATTTTATTGCATATACTATATAAAGAGTACAAGCCAGTTATGATGGTGTACTCTTGCAATTCCAGCAAATTGGGAAGCTGAAGAAGAAGGATTGCAAAGTCAAAGCCAGTTTCAGCAAACTAGCAAAGTCATACTTCAAAATAAAATTCTAAAAAGTGTTGGGGGATGGCTAGGCATGATAGCACATGCCTATAATCCCAGTGACTTGGGAGGCTGAGGCATAAGGATCCCAAGTTCAAAGCCAGTCTCAACAATTTAGTAAGATCCTAAGCAGCTTAATGAGACCTGTTTCTAAAGAAAGAAAGAAAGAAAGAAAGAAAGAAAGAAAGAAAGAAAGAAAGAAAGAAAGAAAGAAAGAAAGAAAGAAAGAAAGAAGGGCTGGGGATATTGCTCAGTGGCTAAGCACCAATGGGTTCAATACCCAGTACCAAAAAAAAGATGGTTGGGAATGTATCTCAGTGGTATGGTATACCTGGGTTCAATCTCTACTACAGGAAAAAGAATAAAATAGAGACCATGTATCAGAACGGTAGAAATCTATAAAATATATATGACATTTATCTGTATGTTCAAACTCAGATTATATATCTAAATGTAAAGCATTACCTGAATGTAAGCATTTACTTAAATTTATATATCCTTTAATGTTTACATATATTATGTATTTAAATATTCATGTATTATGAATATCAATTTATTTAAATATCAATGGATATATAAATTCATAAATATTTGTCTAAGAGAAGGCAACAAAATTAAATAAAGCATTCTGAAGGTAAGAATAAACTATATTGTGATGTGATAATGATAAGCAATTGAACTATTAAAATCAATGGGTGTTCTTTTTCCCATACAGCTCTATTATTCTCACTATACAGGAGGCAGGAATAAGGCCTGTTTTATAATCATTTAATTTCCTAATAATCTAATATGTGTGATGTCAGTGATCACAGCACATGATTCATTGATACCATTTTACTCTAAGTGTAGAGTCATGCATTTATTAGAAATCCATATTAATATATTTTCTCTTGTGGTGTTATATTCTGAAATTAACCTTGCTCAATTAAGTAGAATGTGAGTAAAAGCTGGTTACTTTAGAATGGGAAATGCCATGGTATTATGGAAAGGCAAAGGGTCATAATATGGAGTCAGAAAAAGTCATTAATCTAGGCAGAATAGAAGGGCACACGGCCCTATTAAGTGGCTATAAGGCCTTGGCATTGATATATATGTTGAGAGTGAGAACAAAAAAAGGGCCAAATTATGTTCAAAATTTATGGTCAAGGGTAAGACCTAATGGAGGTCCAAACAATAGTAGGTAATGTTCTTTGGGAATTACATTTCAGATACTGAGACTTAGGAAATCCCTGATTGTGGAAGATGATCAAGAGATAGTTAAAAAAACAAAGATTGAACTGCTTCAAAGTAGCTGCGTCAGTACAGTGTGAATAACTTTCAGTCTGAGTGTTTAGGTATTAATACAAGCACACATTGTTTGAAGTTCAATCATGTCAAATTGGAGTGAATTGACAGACAGAATTGAAATTGAACAATCAACTACTGAAATCACAAGGGTCTTTGAGGAGAATAGTTTCTGAGTTTGAAGTGTGGGCAAATATTTTGGTTGAGGTTAAGAAGAACTGCTTGCTAGATTTAGAGGGAAAATAATCTGTTTATAAACACAAATCATTGGAACCAATTATATTTCCTCTAGTTAAGCTTAAATATCATGCCTTAATTCTGAATTTAAATATGGTTGTTCATAATTTGCCTAAGTATAACATGAACAGAAACAAACATTTCTTATCATAAATGTTTTGAAACTCAGATAGGGCTTTGTCATTTTGACAAGTTACAAGCAAGAGCTAAAGGAAACTGTCCTCCTTGGTGAGCTAGTATGTACATTCCCTGTACCTGGACTGTGAGCTACCCATGAAAATATGTATTGCTTTCATCATGAACTTAGTATCCAGCTCCCAACTCAACAACACTTAATGTGCCTTACAGAATATCCATTTTCTAGTCTTTTACAAGTAATCAGAATATGAAAGTAATTTAAGAGTCATTTTTGTTACTAAGAAAATTGGAAAATTATTCTACTAAGTTACAGCTKGAACTAAGAACGGTGTGCAGCAATAAGTGGAATTACTGATTTTGCAGTTGTTTAAAAATTTTAAACAATTATATAAATTGTTTCATCTTAAACCTATTTTTAAAAAGTATAGACTATTTTTGGAGATACATAGGACCTAATTATCAATATGATATTATTGTATTTGCTCTACACTTTGCAATTTTCTATTATTTTCACCTTCATTTAACATATATTTATGATTATATASTATGTGGAAAATCAAAAAATATGAATTAAATAATATTTTTCTTGAGCAATTGAACAGACTGGGAAAAGAAAAATATTAAGTCATTAAGTTGGCTCCAATTTTTACGATCAATTGGAAGTTTTCTTTATAACTGTTGCTCAAGGATTAAAGCTTGGGGTAGCAAAATAAATTTTAAAAATGTGACTTAGAAGTTTAAAAATTATTCTGACGTGGGAATATTAAAAATGACAAAGTGGCATATAGGTAAATCTTACAAAATGATAGTGTGACAAGGGGTTGTAAAGATGTCTTGGACTTTGGTAACAGAGAAATGCTAGGTGGTAAGAATTTGCAGGATGTGTATGAGGAAGTCTCAAGTCTTAAGATGAGGCTACTGCCCCTTCCATGCCCTTGATGGTCTGGCTAATGCTGATGGCATTTTCCTTGATGAACTTTGGACTATTCCAGTCCTTACAAAGCTAGATTTCTCCATGGCTTTTACCAACTTTTCTTTCTGATGTTGGTTTTGTATTACAACATGATGTTCTAGTTCTCTCCGTGTTTTCTTTTTTTTTAATTTACTTCTTACATACATGACAATAGTGGAGTATATTACAATCATAATTATCCATTCACAGCACAAGTTTTTGTAACTCTCTATATAAAGTATGTTCACACCAAATTATTCCATTATACATAAGCTCTCTTATTATTTTTTTGCATTACAATTCTTAATACACCTTTATACTACAATTTATCATATCTCTGTTTGTGTATAAGATATGTTGACACCAAATTCACATCTTCATACATGTATTTTGTATAATGATGATTTTTTTGTAACTTCTTTGTATTTATTTACTTTGATTCCCATTTTTGTTGGTGTACCTCAGATTCCATAACAACTCTGAGCTTATTCTTTACCCTCTTCTTGTGATAAATATATACATATATATGATATGCTGTCAAGATTAAGATTCTGTCCTTGAAGATCCCAATCCTGTGACCACTTCAGAACTTCATGATGAATTACAGGCTGACATGTTCAACTTCCCAATAAACACCTTCAAATTCAACCTGTATTAACCTAAACTCCTCAATCCTTTTTTCTTGAGTTGCTTTCTGTTTTCTATCCTTCACCTCACTAGAAATCTAGCTATTATCTTTCCTCTATCTTTGCACCACCTATCAAAGAATCTCAAAGTTCTGCTGAGTTTATTCCCTAAAGAGTTCTTGAATGTATTTTCTCTTATCATGGTTACTACATCACAAGTCCAGCATTGATTATCTTGCACCTGAATCATTATAAGACCTCACTAGTGCCCCTACATCTTAATAATTATACCAGAAGGACCCCCAAAGCCATAGTAAATTATCCATAATACTGAATAAACCACTCTTTATTTAATAATTTCTTCTCTCCAGTTTCCCATAAGTTCAGTTTATTAAAATGCAAATAGAATCTCCCAATATCTGATTTCTATATCCTTTTCCAAATTTATCTTTCAGACATGCCCTGTTTTGTATGTTACAATAATACTCATATTTGCTCATATTTCCAAATATACAAGATGTAAGATTTAGGAAGTAATAGGACAGATGGCCTCACGAACACACTGTATAGTTCTCATAACCTGAGAATTGATGAAAAGAACCTCCCTTCCAGAAAAAGGACTGATGCAATACCTTTCTTTATAATTATTGATTCATTCCACTGTTTCCATCATTGACATTTCTAAATATTACATTTAAAATCTGAATAAAACTTTGATAAATAATATTCTTTCTTATATCCTTAGAAATAGTGGCTCCTTCATCTAAAGCTATAGGCCTACCTCCAGGAAGTAATATATAAGTGTCACATGAGGACATTTCAGCTAATGAGCATATGACAGTCCTCATGGGTGACGCAGGGCAAGAAAGGAGAGATGCAAATGCTATGAGAGATTTGCATTTCTAAGGAAAATTCTGGAGAGAAATAAAGAGAAAAATGCCTGGAACTCTAGAAAACCAACTTTTCCATCACCCTGTTAGGTCAGGCCTAGCCCTAATCCAAGTATCACAGTCTATGGATGGAAGTTGTGGTACTTTTTTTCCTTTAAGTTAGTTGTCTCTCTGAAGTAGTGCAATATAAACTGTCCTCGCTCTCCCTCTTTCTTTCTGTTCTCTTCCTTCCTACTCTTCTTTCCTTCTTTTCTCTCCTACCTAAAATAAACCCCTTCAAATGAAGACCAAAAAATATATACATTTCTTCTCACAACAGCAAAGGAAGTTTCCAGTATCCTGTAGTATAGAAAGAGAAATTGATTAAGATCTTCTTTTGTTTCCAGGCCATTAAAAAATTCACTCACTTAGATGAGCTGTTTATTCCCAAAGTTTATTCTCCATAGAATTAGGCTTCATGAATTTTACATTAGAACCATGAATGAAAGAATCAACATTTAATGCAAAATGTCATCTTTTCTGTACAAATAATCAGCATTTTCAGTGACCTTTTCTAAGTAACAAAAATAGTGCTTTAGGAAAGTAGTGTCTCTATTTAATAGGAATGCTAGGAATTATTAATCCATCACTGAAAAGAAAATTTGGTCTTTATGGTTAAATAACTTTCAACTGTTTTCTGAGAGTCAGTCTTCAAATGATTAAAATAAAATAATAATTAAATATATATGCATGTATTGTATTATTCTACACATTTATAATAGGTCTTCTGAATAAGTAAATTTGCATAAGAATGCACACCCATGTGTACCCATGCAACTCTGTTACAATTGATTATGAATTGTCAGCATTTTATTTCTGCACTGACCTGAAGGGAAACATTCWCAGAAAACACTAATATACCACACGTCTTCCTTGCTCTTACAGAATCCATAAAAAGTCTAATATAGTTTTTTATTTTTGGTCCAGGCTTTCTGCAGGGCCCAGCCTCTATTTTTAAACTATCTCCATCTCATGCGCAGCATGTTCACTTTTTTTGAGGAATATCTAGACTTGCCTATGTCTGTGTGCTTCTTCAAATCAGTTGGAAACTTCAAAATTGTTCCTCTTCAGAGGAAACCACTCACACAAAAACTTATCCCTCTTCTCTCTTCACTCAGAATATATACCAAGGCATCTCATTTTTTTTAACTAGCATACTTTGGCATCAAACAAATCCATATTGAGTGTTTCCTATGTCAGGAGCAATGCTAGGTGCTGTAATAAATGCAAACAGCACATTTCTAAGTATCCCATGGATCAAAGGGAAAAAAAAACTGTGAAATTTTGGAGACATGATAAACTAATAATGTGATGAAAACACAACATTAAAACAGCTAAACTGTGGAGAGGGAATTAATACCCTTTTATAATTTTCATTTAAAAAGAAGAAAGGCAGGGCTGCAGGTATAACTCAATAATAGAATAGTTCCTTCACATGCATGAGACCATGAGTTCAGTCCTCAGCACAAAAATAAAACAACAATGACCAAAAATCAAAAACAAAACAAAACTTGCTGAAATCAAATATCTTAGAAGCCACGATTTTTTTCTTAAATATAAAAAGCAAACCCTCCAAAAATAGATGACAGAGAAATCAAAAATAAACTCTCAGAGGCTAATGAAATAAAAATCAAATATAAAAAATAAAAATCAGAATACAGCAGAATACAACTGACACTAGGATTGCTGTATGTATACACATAGATATATAACCAATGGGATCCTGCAATCTGTACACGTGAAAAAATGAGAATTCATAACCTATTTGAATCAAATGTATGATATTTCAAGATCATTGTATTGTATTGAACAATAAAAAAAGAAAAAGAAAGAAAAATCAAATAAAAAATGAAAATCAAAGAGTACAGGACAGACAGCAAAATTAAAATAAAACTAAATTCTATCCTTTATGAGAAGCACATGTAAAATTGATAGATCTACAAAAAGCATATGAAAAGCACACAGCATCATTACATAGCAGGAAAGTTCAAATTAAATCCACAATTTCATACTACTTCATACTTACTCGAAAGACTAAAATTTTTCAAAGGAGCAATATTAGAAATTTTGCCCTTTAAAAGAAAATTGTTTTTATTTATTTTTTCATTACAGTATGAGGGAGAGATATGAAACACTTCATTATTTCCATATTTAGGATTACCTGTGCTTCCAGATTCTTATACTTAGTGTCTATAATTCTAGAGATGTTTAACCATTTCCTCTTCAAATATTGATTTTCTTCCTTGTGTTCATTCTTTATTTTAAAACATTCAATTAACTTTACATTAAAAATAATTCTATTGTTTCTATTTGTTACTTCCTGTGTATTTCCCATATTTTTGTCTCTCTTGGGATTTCTTCCCACTGGTAATACTAGCTTCCTATGCGATCTTCAGCTGTGTCTAACTCATCCCTTTCCAGTTTTAATTGATTTTTTCCTACAGTTTTCTTTGCTTATTTTCCAAATTTAATTTGCTTAAAAAAATGTCCCATCTCTAAATTTTGATCGGGGAGAATGAATAGGTGTTTTCCTGTAAAAAAGGGATGATTGTGTTTAAGGCAGCGATAAATAGAATAGCATGTTCTAGTTACTGATTGGTGGTTGCACAGCTGATTTCTTAAAACTTCTTCCACCTATATTTCAAAACAACACCAAGAGCATTAAATGTACTTTTCACTTAAAGATTAAAGCTCAAAGTTAAATAATGTGCATTCATTTATGTAGCAATTCAGTGGCAAAACTGCAATGTCAAGCCTTGGTCCTTCTTCTAGGACACACAATCCCTTAGAGAAACCATAATTGTGTTTGTTCTTAAGGAATTTGATAATTCAAGTCTATATCACACAATTCTTTTCTGGTTCTAAATCATTTCCTGGAATTCTTCCTCCTAGGAGTACCTTAGGAGTACTGCCACCATTTTCGTCAAGATCAAAGCCAAGTTGCTGTCTCCCTTCCACTGTCCTAGCCTAACATTGACCTTGATTTAACAAAAACAGCAAAATCGAGGCACTCATTGGAATTTACCTTGTAATGACTTCCTTTTGATAAGGTTTCCTTGCAGGTAGGGTTCAAGAGGCTCATAAATATTTATTTGCTTTTTAATTTAACTCTTTCTTCACTTCAAAGTCATGTGGATCATGCCCTGGGTAACAAACAAAATGAGTTTCTCTCATTGAAATATTTCTAATAAGCACATATCAAATTATTAGTTTATCTGTTGTCTTTTTTTGAAGCCAGTATATTCTAAGGTGAAAKAGCCCACTGCTTTCTTATTCCTAATGATCTTCTTTTATTCTTTCTTTCCTTTCCTTCCTATTATCCCTCTTTCCCCCTCCTTTCTTCTTTCTTTCCCCTCAACATTGACTCTAAAAGATCAGGGCCAGTCATCTTGTAGATATTTTTGATTGGTTGATTGTTTATTCAGAATATTGTTTGAAATGTTCTCTACATCTGTATTGAYTGAGCTAACTGAATTTCAGTTAGTTGTTTTGGTAAAAACACTGCAGAGGTGCTATTGTGCACACTGCAGGGCATCTCATCCAGAAGCACAGGATCACTGAAATCTCTCTATGTATAAGTTATTCTAAGTATCATCAGTGAGTTAAGCTAGTGACAGCCACATTTATTTATTTTAAAATTGAATTTCCCCCTTTTGTAACTCTCTGTGGGTTGATGCTTGGATGTGATGGCAATATTCAGTTCCTCTTTAATCCTTCATGAAATGGTTGAATGGTTGCTGGTATCCTCTGAAGATTTGTACTTGAATCAATTATTTTAAGGATCTGCACTGATTTTGTGCAAGTAATTTCTACTGTTTTGATGTCTAAAGAGATAAAYAGTGAATACTCCAGTAAGAGCAATAAATACTAGCGAAAGCATAACTCTATGGACATAGCACTTAAATGATGCCATTATTTCTCTTTTGGTTACTAGTGATTTGGGATGGGTTCATTTAATATTTGGATGAATCTCAAGCATGACTACATTTCCTTTCAGTTGATTAAGCCACATTAAGTTTAAATTTAAAGGAGCATCTGGTTGACATTTGCCAGACACTAAGTGACTCTAGCAATAACCTGAAATGTAAGTCCATTAATCATAGTCCTGTCAAGTGGAATTCTTTATAGAGCTTGCTTATCAAAGCAGAGTATAAAAGAATAAAGTTGAAAAGAGTGTGAAAAAAATAGTCAGAAGATGGGAAAGGATTATTGCTTTTTCTGTAATTCTTTAGGATTAGATTTATAATAGGTTTCTATTGCATTATGGAAAGATGAGAAATGTTTAAAAAGAATTAAAAAATATCTTGTGTAGAATAAATATTCAGTACTGAGTGAGTTCTGAAATGCTGTTTTAAGCAGAAGCAGCATTTTTGACTGGATCTCTTATTTAAACCTTATCTTTATGTTGCAGCTGTACCTGGAAAGAAAGAAGAAAAAACAACCAAGACAGTGGAGCAAGGTAAAAAAAAATGAAGGAGGTTGACATTATCTTCTTTAGAAAGACAACAACATGTGGAGGAGAGCCCTGGCTTCAGACAGGCGGAAGACAATACCTTTAAATCTATGCTCCATGTCACTGTCCTTGCATGTTTTTTCTGTGCCAGGGAGAATGTGAGGTGGCAAGCTGGGTTTGTCTTTCTTTTGTGAATAAAACTTTGAGTATAAATTCAGAACAGGGAAACTCCACAGAGTGCTTAATTTCATCAGCAGAAATGCTCAAGATTGCTGGGGATAAGGAAATGAACTGGAACAATTGGTAGAAGTACTTGTTTGATTTTTGGTTGCAATAATACCACATTGCTGATCATAGTTTGAAGAATAAAGATGACATCATCCTGTTTACCAACAAGAAAAAGATTTTACATTGCTTGGAAAATAATATGTAAAAATTAAAATACAGGAGATAAACAACAGCAAATGAAAGCTATTCAAATGTATATGATGACTTCAGCAATTGGTGTTTCCCAGGTCTGAAATTTCAGCTACAAATCAAAACGTCATTAAATAGTTCTGTATATTTTAATGTGGTTGTATTATAACTAGATGTATAGTTTAGGAAAAAAAATCTCTATAGTGCACCAGACTTGAGACATTTACACTTATACTGCACCTCCTCTTAAAGCTCAAAGTGTGCCAATAATTTTAATTGCTGTCCCCTTCTACTTTTTACATGATATTATTATATTTATAATTTATTAAACAAAATTTGAGCTGACAATAATTTTTCAAAAGTCAAAATAATTCTTACTTTCATAGTTGAGATGGAATAAAGTTTAGTCTCTTAATATCAGAAATTTAGAATTTTTGATACATATCTATCAAGAAACTCATTTCATTCCTCACATTTCAGATTAGTGAACCAAGATTAAGGATTCAGTTAAGTGAAAAGATTGGTTAAAGATTTATTTCCTTGGGCTCTTCAAAACATGAGAACATTAACATTTTATTAATAAAATTTTTAAATTTATTTGGGCTTCTGGGTACCACCTGACATACTAGAATTCCATGGCATATTTCTGTAAACTTCTTTTTAAAACAAAATATATACTTTAGTCTCCAAAATGTAAAGTAGAAGCACTAGTCCCAATTTCAGCCTGTTCACTTGTGCAAGTTTCTTCTTTAACAATTGCAGATAATTATACCTGACCTGCATATCTGACAAGATAGTGTATAGTTCAAACAAGAACACACATGTGTAAAGGATGTGAAAAATGTAAAAACCTAAATGTTAGTATAGTACTTTTTAGGTGTTTATTTCTTATGAAATCCATTTCAGTACAGGTGAGAGAATTTTCAAGCCACTTTGACCCCACTGAGCTTCATAGTTTTGTTTCCCTCTGGTGTAGTGGTGATTGCTCAAGGTGCTCATAGATTGCATTTATATTCACAGCATGTTAAGAGAAAATTGACCAGAATATAAAACACTCTCATGAATAATAATGTACCTAACAGATAACTKATTTGACCACCTGTTGTTTATTTCTTCTCACCTGCCTCTTAGCATCAGTTTCATTGATTCTATAATGTTTTTGCAAGTGGCCAGAAACTGAAATTGACTCTATGGCATGAGAACTTTCTCCTTTTCATATTATTTTATAATTTTGAATTAAAATGTCTTTTGCCTTATGATAACTTAGGCCTTTTATTTGTGTAAAAAAATAGAACTTCTTTTACTGGCTTTTTTATATTGACATAGTAAATCATTTCAGCTTTAAATATTGTATGGCAGTGGCCTCATATTTTTCAACTCTAACAGTAACAGGAAATAGTGTATTTTGATATGTTGCCTGTTTTGTGATTATGTATCTATGACTAATAACTATTATGAAAATAGATATTTCAGGATTTCATAAAGCAGGGAGTTTGTGTGAGAATAAATTAGAAGTAACTGTATTCTTGAAATTTCACCATAGCATTCATAAGATAATACTTTAAGAATTGATGTACCTTTTTATCTAGTTTTTAGTAATCCTTAGAAATATAAAAATATACAACTAGTTCGTAGTGCCTTAAAATACAATTAAGTATTCATTTAAGCTTGAACTTGTGGACTTTATTAGAAACACATTATGATATTTGTACTCATCAAGGTTCTAAAGCACTTTGTGATATAGATTGAACATCTGGATTTAGTTTGCATTACAGTTATACTTTGGAAACATTAAGCTAAACTTTACTTATGGGAAATTCATATTAGAAAAGGTGAAATAGAGTTTATGTTAATATGATTATCTGATGGGACCTCATAACATGTAAGAAATAGAAATTTAGTCAAAGTTCTGCAGAACACCAAAAAAATCACTGTTTTTTCCTCTAGTCCATGATGAATTATATGATATTCAATTATTTTTCTTATGAAGATCTTGAATTGGGACATTGCAGTTTGGAGTAATAAGCAGTACTTTATAGCCGGCCCAGTGGCACATACCTATTATTCCAGCAGCTCAAGAGGCTGAGGTAGGAGGATCATGAGTTCAAAGCCAGTCTCAGCAAAAACAAGGCATTAAGCAACTCAGTGAAACCTTGTCTGTAAACATAATACAAAATAGGGTTGGGGATGTGGCTTAGTAGTTGAGTGCCCCTGAATTCAATCTTTGGTACCAAAAGAAAAAAAAATAAATATTTTGTAGACTCCTCTACTTTGAAGGTGTGTGCACAAACAGACAGCATTAATATTCCCCCTGGTTTATAAATCAATTACCTAGGTAAACCAGAATGCTTCTCTACTGTACTTACAGAGTAAAAAGTTCCTATCCTTATAGGGAGAATCAAGGAATGTCAAAGGCAAAAAAAAAAAAAAAAAAAAAAAAAAAGTTACTGCATGTGCTACTCTATGAGGATTCATGTTTATACATTTTTATATTATATCTTGAAAGATTATATTTCAATAATGCAATAATTCATTATTGCAAACTGCTCATTTGCTGATATTTGATTTCAAATATATAGGTGTACATTTTCTTCATTGGTGTTCCTTTTCACAATTGATCTGCCCTCCTAAACTGCATTTTCCTTTCCTTTATTCAGTCTCTCTCTCTTTCTCTCTCTCTCTCTCTCTTAATCTGTTTGACAGATTTGGTAAGATTTACTTAATGCTAGCTGGGAGGGAGGCAAACAGCCACTCTAAATAAGCATTATGAGGTTTAAAAGGAGACTGTATAAGACAATTACCCTCAAAGGTCTGAATTGGAGTTGTAGAATTCCCATTTTTAACATCCTTATTGAAAACTGACTTGAGTTTAGCAGTGAAAATCTGAAAAAAAAGTTATGAATTAATTCACTGGCAAATCATTTTTCTTTCTTCTTTCATTCACTCCTGTGTTTGACATTACTCAAGTCTTCCTATAGAATCCATCCAAGAGCCCATACCAGTGGCTGCATAAAGAAGTTCAATAAATGTATGTGGTTGTCAAATACAAAATAAAGAGTTTATTGAGAAAAAAAATATTAGATGATCTAGATTTCAACAAACTGTTCCCAAAAGATTGTGTAACAGAATATTTTCAGAAGTCAAGAGTAGAATTTCAATAGTAAAGAGGTCCAAATATTTCAGAAATTAAAATGTAAATGATTCTCACTTTACTCCATTTTACAGTGGAAAAAGTAAAAGAAAAATCAATAAGTAATTTCTTTGTTAATTTATTATATTATACAACTGATAGTCTTAAAATTTTGTGTTAACAGCATTTGACAAGGATAGAGAAAAATTAAATTTTAGTAATTATAACAATTGTGAATTCATTTTAAAGAACTAAAATGTGATAAAAGGTTGAACAGGTATCTAATTAGGCCAATATATTTGCCTCAATTCAGAAAATTTAGGTTTTATTCTACATTTTTAAATTTTTTATAATTAGGAATCCTAATGAGGCTCTCTCTAATACCTGTTCCAAGTGTAAAAACCAAAAATTATTCAAAGAAATTTTAAATAATGTGCTGTGCTTCTTACATCAAAATATAAAGGGTAGTCTTTCTTTTAGAAAGAGGCTGATTTAAAAGTCATTTATAAGATTCTAAGATTAAAATGCTAAGAAAAATCACATTTGATAAACTTTAAGTCTTATGGATACTTCATTATCTTAAATTAAGTTGAAAAGATTATTACAGAAATATTAAGTATAATTTTCCACCCCCTTAACAATTAAAAATAACTTTAAAATTTAGTTAACTATAAAAACATGACAAAATAGTTTTTAAAAAATTGCATATAATTTGATTGCTTATTAACCATCATGAATAAATTTGAACACAATTATTCATCATTTTATTAAGGGTAAAATTGGAAAGTGTGGATCGTAATGTTAACAAAGTTCATTTTCTGTAATAGTGATTCAATTTTGCCTTTAATTAAAAAGTATTTCAAAGCCTGGAAACAAGTTAATATGGTCCACCTGAAGGGTTCTCTCTCTGTCTTCTGTAAACAGTGGTACCCTRCATAATTGTAATACTATTTTAAATTGTCACAGCAGTAGGCAAAACAYGAACACTTGTTATCATCCTCATCCACCTCATCAGATTCTTCTATTTTTTTCTATGCACTGGTCCTTTCAGAATCTGTGATGTATAATTATTATAGATTTATCCCAGAGTTTCAAATTATTGTTAATGATATCTGAGTTATGTTTTCTCTGAGAGACGCTTATTTATTTGAATAATGATGTCTATATTTCTCATGTCTCAATTATAAAAAAGAATTTTATATTTAAAATTACTGGAGTAAAATTGAAGGCTAAGTTAATGATAATTGTATTTAATTATTTGCTTAATATGTGATTATAAAGTAACTTATCTGCACATGTTGATTAAGTCATGCTGTTGACCCTCAATAAATGTTAAATGATAACAATATTAATGATTTCTGTGATTTCAAACTTTCTGAAACTTTTTTGTACTTGGATTGTTTAATATTTATTGAGCGCCCACAACAGGCTAGGCGCTGGGGAAGGGGTGCAATGGGCA